ACGTAACTGTTCAAGATGGACAACAAGAAATCACCATGAAAAACATTAACGTCGACGAATTGATGGCTGATGTCTTCGTTGCTCACCCAGTCTTCCACGTCAAATCTCGCCTTGTTGGAAAAATGCTTGGCTACCAAAACTACAGACGTAAGTTTATTTCTTTTAGTTATAATCAAAATTTAATACAATTTATTTATTTATAGCATACTGTGTTATTGACCAAACCGAAGCCAACACTTACTCCAACAGAACCTACTCCATCAGATCTCTTCCAACTCAATGGACTGTTATGATGCAATACGTTCCCGAAAAGGCCCGTCAACATCAACAACCCCACATTAACGGACAAGAACAATTGAAACACCAACTTGGAAACTACCTTGTTATGGTTCGCCAAAACAAAGAAAACCCTAAACAAAAGGACGTAAAAATCACCTTCAACGAACCAAGAACCCAAGGCAAAATCTTGGACATCACTTTGCAACCAGCCCAAAACGGTCAACTATCCGGTGTCAACCCCAAGGCTAACGTATTCGTTGGACAACAACAAGTCCAAATCAACGGTCAACAAAGCCACGACATCCAAGGCGATTTGGTCCAAATCTACGCTTTGCCCAACGGTGAAGTCAAAATTGAAGTGCACGGTAAATTCTACGCCATCTACGATGGAGAACGTGTCAAACTTACCCTTCTTGATGGACAATTCCGTGACCAAATCCGTGGTCTTTGCGGACAATTCAATGAACAAAAACCCACCGACTTCCAAACCCCTGACAACTGCATCGTAAGAGAAGAACAAGAATTCGTCCAAAGCTGGAACGCCGAACAACCACAAAAACAACAACGCCAACACTGCTACAGACAAGAAGTCTTGTACGCCAACGTGATCTCCAAACAAGATCTTGGACATGGCCAAGAACACCAAAACCAACACCAACACTCCGGTGACATGTGCACCAAATACCAAACCCGCTACGTCGAACAAAACGGTGAAATCTGCTTCACCATCCGCCCAATGCCCGTCTGCAATTGCCAACAACGCGGCACCATCACCAAGAACGTAGCCGTCCACTGTGTCAAGCAATCCAACGTTGCCAACTTGTGGAAGAGCCAAATCCAAAAGGGCGCCAGCCCCGACTTCGGCTCCAAAACCGAATCCAGGAAGATTCAAATGGAACTCCCCCAACAATGTTCCCAATAAGTTAATTTCGACTCAATCTATATTATAAATTATAACGAACATTCTAAAAATGTAAAAAAAAAATAAATAAATAAACAAATAAAATAAAAAATTTAACTGTGTTATTATTCCATTATATTTTTGATATTTTTATATTTCAGGATACAAATTAAAGTTTGTTAGCAAATTATCAATAATAAAAAACGCAATGCACTTTACCATAACACAAAATTTCCTTAAAAAAATCAAATAAAGTGATAAAGTGATCTTTTCAATACACATTGACAAGTTGTGGATTTATGGCGTTTTAGTCACGGGCAGTTGTCAAATTTTATACAATCGTTAAAATAAAGTGCCCTTCTTGTGAAAAAATAATGTGGTCCCAAGTCCTCGGATCTCTTTGAAGTTCTTCCTTGTCTGGTCGTAATGAAGAAATTAGGAAAAAAACGGTAGAAAAGGAAAACGATAAATAATAAAGTTACAAGTTTATTAATGCGAGAGCCAAACAAGGTGATCCACGTTAAAAAGGGGTTGGCACGGATTACCGATGTGCCCGATACAAAAATCAAAAAGTACCTTCAAGATCCATCTACCGTTTTAATTTAATTTAACAATCTAAAGATTGTGAAATTGAACTAAAATGGGTCTAAATGAAAGAAATAAAAATGAAGGTTTTATAAAAAGCTCCTGGGCGCCTGGTTCCATAAGATGATCACTTCACTGCATTATAAGACTGACAAGACTTGAACCGAAGAAAACAACCTACAAAAACTGACTTACGACCCATAACAAAAACGAACTTAAAGAACTGATCTTTAAATAAGGAATAAGTACCATCTTCAACCTAAACAAGATTTGACCCGACCAAAACAACATAAAAAAATTTGATTTACGAACCCTAACAAAAACGAACGAAAAGAACTAATCTTTAAATAAAGAAAAAGTTCCATCTCCAACCTAAATTAGATTTGACCCGACTAAAATAACCTTAAAAAAATTTGACCTACGATTTTTAACAAAAACGTATAAAACGAACTGATATTTAAGTTACCCGTATCAAAAACGCACTATAAGAATTATTACTTAAATAAAGAATAAGTTCCATTCCCAACATAAACAAAATTGGGCCTGAAAAAATATCCTAAAATTTTTTTGACCCTCGACTCCTAACAAAAACGAATTACAAGAACTAATCTTTAAATAAAGAATAAGTTTCATCCCCATCATAAAGGATCCGACTCGAAAACACACCTTATACTTTTTTTTACTAGTACAGTATCTCCAGTCGTCTTCAGGTGAATACTGAATATATTTAGTAGCTACAGGCCTATTTATATTTAAGCCGGGTGCACTGGAACATCTGTTTAACCGTTTAATATTCAAAGAAATTTGCAGTAGTTTTTAAGGTTATGGTAATTTCGCTAATAGATACGTCAAAAAATGCAATGCCTGGAAATTTTTTTAGATTACGTATTGATTCCATTAAAACCAAATGTTGTTATATAAATAATTATAATATTATAATTATTTCAAAAACAACCTAACAACAGGGTGTCACGCTAGCGTGATAAACATAATACGTTAAAGATGACGAATTTATTAATTTTAATTGTTATTTAATATTTTATTATTAGATTATACAGGGTGTCCCTAAAATGGCGCACTATTTTGAGTTATTATGGTTTCAAAATTTTATTTTTGTTATTAAATGTACCTAAGCGTAAGCCAAATACAAATAAAATTAAAACAGAAGTAATCTAATTTTTTTTACCAAAACCTAATGGTTTAAGGTGTTTTTAACAAATTGACGTTATAAAATCACCAAAAATAAAAACTTATTAAAAAAAGTATTTTTTCCGCCGACGTTGATCAGTGTGTGGCGCAGTGTATACAGAATCGAGTAGTTCAAATGACTTAGATTGAGCCACAAAATGATCGAATTTTTCAATATTTATTAATAAATGATAGAATTTTTTAATTTTTATTGATAACTTATAAGTCACAACCCCCTAAATAACAAACTCTATTAACAAAAGGAAACCCATGAACTACAATTTTGCGACAATGATAAAAAATTGTTATTTAGAAAATAATTGTATATTATGCAACAAGTTTAATTAGGTACGAGCTTAGCTTGCGAAACCAGTAACGAATTATAGACGAACACAAAAATTAAATATATAATTTTTAAAAATAAACAAAGCAGTATTAATAACAGATACTAACGCAAATAACCAAAATGTTCAGAAAAGTTAATCACACCCGCAGGGTGTCACAAATATCTGAAAAAAAACTTACTCTTACTTTTGCACCCTGTATATGCTTTATAATAAACATGATTTTTTCAGAAAAAGTAATATTCTGTAAGTTAGTGACGACAAAATTTGTGTTTGTATTTGGTCGAGAGAATAATAAAAAAATCATAATATTAATTCTTTTTCATTTGGTAACAGTTTACTCCTCAGAAATTCGCTTTTTTGCGCGTTTTGACACCCAAAAATTTTGATCAAATGACAAAAAAATTACAGTTCAATTCCGGCCTCAGAACGGCCCTATCACCAACCGTTTGGGCTCCATTGGCCCTGTATGGTTTTTAAACTTGTTCTTTCCCGTTTATTTTTTTAATTATGTTGTAATTAGTATCTGGTATTGTAGTCCAAACTATTTTTATCTTGTCTATAATAAACACCTTATTCGTATTTTTTTTTTCTTATTTTTAATAGTTTTTAATAATTCATTGTAAAAAATATGGGGATTTGTATTTTGTATGTTAAAGTGTAAGTCTGGAGGATTAATGACATCAAACCAGAAAATAATAATACATTTTTATCAAAAATCCTTTAAAATAAATAATCAATTGAAATTATTCTTTTAATAAAGTTAAATTTCTAAAATCGCGTGCAAATTTTTATAAATAATAATTATTAATTGGGTTTATCTTTTTCTTGCTGATCAATGAAAAATCATATGCAGCAGTTTTATGTGAGTTTCTATGCGATTCATTGATAAATGCATTTTTGTTATCACTTTTAAATTTGGTATAAATACTCAAATCAAGAAAATATTCCTTACACTTCTCTGACCGTTCCACTACTAACGAGTCCAAGATGTGGTCAAGATTGTTACTTTGCTGCCTAGGTAAGTTTTCTTTTATGTTAATAATTTAAATATTTTCTTTTAAATTTAATTAATAATTTGTGATTGTTGCTTTATAAATATTATTTATTTTCAGTCGGCTTCGCTTTCGCAAACAACAGCAACCCAGCCTGGAAAGACAACACTGAGTACAGCTACATCGTTCGCGGTCGCACCTTAGCCAGCCTCAATGAAGTTTCCAACCAATACACTGGTATCCTCTTGAAGGCCAAATTAACCATCATTCCCCAATCCAACGGCAAATTGTACGCCAAGATTTCCGAATCTCAGTATGGGCAAATCCATTCCGAATTGGCCAATGGCTGGAACACATACATTCCAGACTCCCAGGTCGGTTACAAACAATTGCCCTTGACTGAGAAATACTTCGAAATCGTAATGGAAGAAGGCGTCATCAGAGACTTGATTGTAAGCAAAGAAGTCTCCAACTGGGAAGCCAACATCATCAGAAGCATTGTCAGCCAATTCCAATTGGACACCAACGCTAAGAACTTGATCCCAAGCCACGTCAACGCCCTTCCCGAAGGTCAACAAAACAATGCCGTCTTCAAGACCATGGAAGATACCATCAACGGTCAGTCCGAAACCTTGTACGACATCCACGCTCTTCCCGAATACGTGCTCCAAAGCAAACCATGGTTGGCTCCAAAACACGAATTGAGAGGAGAAGGAGAAGTTATCGAAATCGTCAAGAGCAAGAACTTCACCAACAGCAAACAAAGACCTTCCTTCTACTATGGATTGTCCGGCATGGACCAATGGGAACCCACCACCAACCAAATGGGAGAATTCTTCACCAGAACCTCCAACAGCCGCGCTGTCGTTACCGGAACTCTTAAACGTTACACCGTACAAAACTCTTACACAGTCAACAAGATCGTGATGAGCCCAACTTTGAACGATGACAAAAAAGGATCTGTCGTCAGCATGCTTAACGTGACCCTTCAAGAAGTTCGCCCACAAAGCGAAAAACCACAAGAAGTTTCCCAACCAATCAACTTGGGCGATCTTGTCTACAGATTCAACAAACCATACTCCACCAACCAAGTTCGTGGCGAATACAGAGGACAAGAAAACACCAACCAAGGAATGCAAAGATCCAGCGAAGAAATGTACGTCGCTCACCCAAGATTGTTCCGTCGCTCCGTCGAAGAACAATTGAGATCTGAAGAACAATACCAAAAGCAAGAAAGATACATGGAACAATACTGGAATGAACAACAACAACAGGAACAACCAAAAATGGACAAAGCCCCACAAACCCCACTTTTGCCCTTCACCATTGGATACAAAGGCCAATCCATCAAGACCGAACAAGGATTCAACGTTGTCGAAAAGGTAGAAAAACTTTGCCAAGAAATTGGCCAATACGTTCAACAACCCGAAACCATTTTGGAAAAATTCGTCTTGGACAAATTCACCATTTTGACCCAACTCGTTCGCATCATGAACGCCGATGAACTCCAAAAGGTTTCTCAAAAAGTATACAGCCAAGAACAACATGGTCAAAAGTACGCCGCCTGGATTGCTTTCCGTGACGCCGTCGCTCAAGCCGGAACTGGCCCTGCTTTCCTTACCATCGAAAAATGGATCCAAACCGACAAAATCCAATCCCAAGAAGCCGCCGTCGTTATCAGCACCATGGCCCGCGTTGTCCGCGAACCAACTGTTGAATACATCCGCAAATTCTTCGAATTGATCAAATCCGAAAAAATCCAATCCCAAGATCAATTGTTGAGAAGCTCTGTCCATCTTTCTTTCGGTAACCTTTTGCGTAGAGTTTACGTTGAAAAACGCGAATCCCACAACGCTTTCCCCGTTCACGTTTATGGAAAATTCTACAACCACGAAGGTAAAACTTATATGAGACAAACTATCATCCCATACTACCGCCAACAATTGGAACAAGCCATTTCCCAATCCAAAACTGAACAAATCCACATGTACATCCGTACTTTGGGTAACATTGCCGACAGAGAAATTCTCTCCGTATTCGAACCCTACATGGAAGGACAAAAACAATGCTCCCAATTCCAACGTTTGATGATGGTGGTATCTTTGGACAAACTTACCTACGGACACCCCGAATTGGCTCGCTCCGTTCTTTACAAAATCTACCAAAATGCCGGAGAGTCCCAAGAAATCAGAGTAGCTGCTGTATACCAATTGATGAGAACCAGCCCACCTACTGACATGCTTCAACGCATGGCCCAAGCTACCCATTTCGACGAACACGACGATGTTAACGCTGCTGTCAAATCTTCCATTGAAACCGCTGCCCAACTTAAAGGAGAACAATACAAAAACTTGTAAGTTACTTTTATTTAAGTTTATTTGAGTTTACATTTATACGTTTATTTAAGGCGTTCCTCTGCCAGAGCTGCCAAACCCCTTCTTACCAAGAAAAACTTCGGCTTGCGTCAGTCTCAAAACTACCTTCGCAGCTATGTTCTCGATGAAATGAAAGTAGGTTACAAACAAGTTGTACAAACCATCATTGGACAAGGATCTTTCATCCCCAAATCTGTCAAATATTCTCTTCGTTCCACCCTTGCCGGATTACACCGTCAATTGGTAAACATGCAATACATGGTATCCAGTATCGATGAACTTACCAACGTTGTGATGAAGCAAACCGAATTCTACAAACAAGCTAAAGAACAAACCCAAAACACCGAACAACAATGGAGCAGCCAACAAGTTGCCGGTTTATTGAAATTGAAAATGGACGAAAAAGATCAATTGGAAGGTTCTTTGAACATTGAATTGGGAAATATTCAACAAATCTTGTCCTTTGACAACCGCACCATCGAAAGATTGCCAGAAATCATCAGCGTACTCGAACAAGGATTGAAACAAGGAAAACAATTCCACTACTTGAAATTCGTAGATAATGGAGAATTCACCATGGCTTTCCCCACCGAAATGGGCTTCCCATTCGTGTACACCTACAACACCCCTGTGCTCAGCCACTTCCACGGCAAAATTGAAGCTCAAATTAAACCAGAATCCCTCATCGAAGGTAAATTCCAAATTCCAGAGACCGTATCCATTAAATCCGAAATTAGAGCCACCCTCCATGGTAAAGTACAAGGACACATTTCCTTTGTCGCACCATTCGAACACCAACAATACGTAGCTGGATACGACAAAGTATTCCTTGCCCATGTCCCACTCCGTACTAAGATCGACGTTGATGTCCAGAAAATGCAAGTTCATGCCGAATTCGAACCATTGAACGAACAACAAGGCAAACAACAAGTTATGCACTACAGCACTTTGCCATTCACCACCAAGGCTGATTTGCTTAAGGCTGAACCTTTCCTTGCCAGACCAACCACACAGGTCATCTCCCAAAAATTGAACCAAGGTATGGAATACGTTTTCGGAAAGAAGGAAATCGGCATGGCTCTTCGCGTTGAATGCCAACACGAACAAAGAAGAAACAACCTCTGGTGGCTCACCAAGCTCATGGAAAGCAAAGACCCTCTTGCTCTTTTGCAAATCGTTAAGTTCGGTGCCATCGAACGCAGCCAATTGAACGTCTTCTACTTGCCCCAAGAATCTACCACCCGCAAGGTCGCTATCAAATTGGGATACCAACAAGATTACAAAACCCAAGGATCTGACGAAAGCAACGCCAGCCAATTCGACGATTTGGCCCATGTTGCCCAAACCAGCTCCGAATCTTTTGCCCGTCAACAAGATTTCGTCAAAAAGGTATCTGCTGGAATCAAGAGCGTACACACCAAAGTCGTTGATGCCCAAATCGAATTCCAAGGTCAACAAACCATGAAATACACCGTAACCGGTGCCGTTGCCAAGAGTAACGTCGATCAAAAATCCCGTTTCTTGGTTCTCGTCAAATCTGAAAACCAAATGAAACCATTCGAACTTGCTATCGCCGGCAGAAGCCTTATTCCCAACACCAACGGACTCGACTTGACCGAATCCCTCAGGGTCGAACCCCAAGTCAACACCCAAGTTAAAATCGCTTTCGGTGAAAACCTCCAACAATCCGCTTCCAAAATCCACGCTGACATCGAACTCCGCAGAAGCGAATCCCGCAAACAATACTTGCTCGAAGAACCCATGTACCACGAATGCAAACGTCAAATGCAAGAAGGTAACCACCAACTCCCAGCCTGCGCCAACATGACCATCAGAGCTAACAAATTGGACGACATTCAAGTCAAAATCCAACATGAAAACATGAGACCCGAATACACCAGAGCCATCCAACACGTATACAACGCACTTCGTTACCAAATGACCGTTCTTCCTCACATCGAAATCCAAAAAAGCCAACAACAAGACAAACAAATCCGCCTTAGAGCCCGTTTCGCTCCAAACCTAAGAGCCATCAACGTAACTCTTCAAGATGGACAAGAAGAAATCACCTTGAAAAACATTAAGGTCGACGAATTGATGGCTGATGTCTTCGTTGCTCACCCAGTCTTCCACATCAAATCTCGCCTTGTTGGAAAAATGCTTGGCTACCAAAACTACAGACGTAAGTTTATTTATTTTAGTTATAATCAAAATTTAATACAATTTATTTATTTATAGCATACTGTGTTATTGACCAAACCGAAGCCAACACTTACTCCAACAGAACCTACTCCATCAGATCTCTTCCAACTCAATGGACTGTTATGATGCAATACGTTCCCGAAAAGGCCCGTCAACATCAACAACCCCACATTAACGGACAAGAACAATTGAAACACCAACTTGGAAACTACCTTGTTTTGGTTCGCCAAAACAAAGAAAACCCTAAACAAAAGGACGTAAAAATCACCTTCAACGAACCAAGAACCCAAGGCAAAATCTTGGACATCACTTTGCAACCAGCCCAAAACGGTCAACTATCCGGTGTCAACCCCAAGGCTAAGGTATTCGTTGGACAACAACAAGTCCAAATCAACGGTCAACAAAGCCACGACATCCAAGGCGATTTGGTCCAAATCTACGCTTTGCCCAACGGTGAAGTCAAGATTGAAGTGCACGGTAAATTCTACGCCATCTACGACGGAGAACGTGTCAAACTTACCCTTCTTGATGGACAATTCCGTGACCAAATCCGTGGTCTTTGCGGACAATTCAATGAACAAAAACCCACCGACTTCCAAACCCCTGACAACTGCATCATAAGAGAAGAACAAGAATTCGTCCAAAGCTGGAACGCCGAACAACCACAAAAACAACAACGCCAACACTGCTACAGACAAGAAGTCTTGTACGCCAACGTGATCTCCAAACAAGATCTTGGACATGGCCAAGAACACCAAAACCAACACCAACACTCCGGTGACATGTGCACCAAATACCAAACCCGCTACGTCGAACAAAACGGTGAAATCTGCTTCACCATCCGCCCAATGCCCGTCTGCAATTGCCAACAACGCGGCACCATCACCAAGAACGTAGCCGTTCACTGCGTCAAGCAATCCAACGTTGCCAACTTGTGGAAGAGCCAAATCCAAAAGGGCGCCAGCCCCGACTTCGGCTCCAAAACCGAAACCAGGAAGATCCAAATGGAACTTCCCAGACAATGTTCCCAATAAATCAGGGATATGAAATAATGAAATTGCAAAATTAATTATTGATAAGTTTTATTTGTAAGGAGCATTAAAAAAGTGAAAAAAAATACTTAATAAACCATGTATATAATATAACTGCTTTTATTTAAAAATTTAAAGAATCCTTCAAACTTATAATATATAGGTACCAAATTAGGCAAAAACTCTTAAGAGTGGCAAGAGATCTCACGATGAGTCTTTTTTTGCTGTAGCTACAATTGAGCGAAGAAAAGAAAACCTTCTGGGCCGAATGGCATATTCCATTCGGTAAATAAAACATTTTATTTTCAAGTTGTAATTTTTTCAGAATTTAAACCCAATTTTATTTGTTAAACGATATATGAAACATACAATTACTAAAAAATGAAAGTGAGGTTAGAACCGCCTAACGTATGTCCAATTTTATGATTGGAAAGTTTTTCCCAATTTAAAATCCGATTGGTCCAAATCGCAGTTAATAATAAAATCGGCCAATCACTAACGCCTAACAACATTTTACGTTACCGCTTCAAGATAAAATATAATTGCAAACACATTAATAATTTACAATGTTTATTAAGTTTATAACAAAAAATTTAAAATGAATATTTATTTTTGCTTAACAAGCGTTGAACGTCAATATAAACTCCACATATCCAATAAAACACATTTGTATTGAAATGCTGGATTATGTGGCATAGTGTATACAGAACCGTATAATTCGAATGACGTAGACTGAGACCCAAAATCGTAGGATTTTTCTATTTTACCATATCTTCTTAACCATTTAACCTAGCCTAGGTTAAATTATAGACTTAAGTTGTAATATAACACTTTGAATTTCAACCGCCTAGGTTACCTAGGCGGTTGAAATTCAAAGTGTTATATTACAACTTAAGCAGGGTTGCCAGATTTTGCAAATGAAAAAGCGGGACACCCAAATGTTTTAGTTTCGAAAATTTCAAAATTGCCTTAAAAAAAATTCAAAACATATAATTTTTTAATTATAAAATTATAAAAAAATATAAATATAAATAATATATATAATCTAAATATTTAAATGTATTTTTCACATGATGGAACTTTTTCAAGAATTTCTTTTCCATTGCTTATTAAAAAATTAACAAATTCTTTACATGTCATTATTATATAACTATAGTTTTGATCATCAATTCAGCTTCTAATTAGAAAAAAAATGTGTTTTCTTACTACCTCGACTGAAAATACGTTGTTTCGTCCCCGATTTCACGGCAGAAAGTTTACGTTTCTTGCATTGGTCAAGCTATACGCGCACACTCCGTAATAGCGGGAGTAAAATTTTTTTAGTCGTGTGCTGAACATATGATTACGACACTAATATAACCTCAAAATTTGGGCAGGCATCAATAATATTGATTCAATATGTTTCGATATAAACATTTAATTTTTTCCCGTATTTTCGGCCGAGGTAGTAAGAAAAATAGTATACACTACACGGGCAGAAAGTGTGAGAGCCCTGAACTGCGCGCCATTATGCCCTCGGCTTTGCCTCGGGCATCATGGCGCGCAGTGCAGGATTCTCACACTTTCTGCCCTTGTAGTGTAATATACTATTAAGCTTAACCCATTTTTTTTTCAAACTGTTCTCATCAAACTAAAAATTGTTTCGGTATAAAAAAATTAATTGAAGTTGGATCTTCTTTTAAAGAATGAGTCCACATTACATCGACATCTTCCGTGTTGTTCAAAATTTTAACAAAAGTAGGTAGTTGGACAAACTCCTCAAATAAAATATCTTCATCAACAGAAATTTTAAATTGTGAAGCAACTTCAAAGTACCTAATTATTTAAATTACTAAACACTAAGTAATATCATGGGACTGTTCAGAATCAGATTAGTAGAATTTTAATAATTTAGTTTTTATCAAAATATTTAAGCATCAATGGAAAGGTTTTTATGTTGCCTTTATTTGAAGCGAAATTGGATGGTGTTCAGAAAGATCTTCTAAATATTTTTTTTGCTATGGGGTCCCAAAACATTTGTGAGTTTTGTTCTGCCACAAATAAAGCTACACTCAGCAATTACCTTTTTTGCGTCATCTCGGGATCCCGTTCGATTAAACATTTTTTAAAGTGCATTTGTGTTTGCTAAATTTTAAATGTTCTTTTTGTGTTTTAAACTTTTCATATGCTTTTGAATATCATTTTCGCCCCCATTATGCAGTGAAAATTAATGCTTGATTGCGATTGGACCCGATGCACACAATAACAAGTGATAAAATTGCCTTAAAATATGCTGATCTTTAATTAAGTTTTTTTAGACGTAGATCGTAATTTTCCTGTATTTTGTAAAAATTTTAAATTATTCCCGTTTTTCGTTCGCAATTTTGAAAGATATTTAAAAATCGGGATTTTCGACTTGCAAATTGGAAGGCGGGACAAATCGGGACACATCGATAAAAATCGGGACAGTCCCGCCTAAATCGGGACAGTCCCGTCTGGCAACCCTGAACTTAACTCTATAATAATCATTATAGATTACAAGTTGTAATTTACAACCCTCGTAAATAATAAATAAACAATTTAAAAGAGTTTTCTTTTTGTAAAATGAACATTATACATTATACAGATGCCAGCCCAGATAGCACACGTCTTGAAGATGTCTTTTGTATATTAATAAATTAATAAATATTTCTTTATTAAACAGATTTTGAAAAATCTGTCATCAATGTCATACGGTTTTAACCTCACTTTTGATACAAGGGATGTGAAATTTGTTTTTCTTTTATTTAATTAATAAAAATTTTTAATTACAAATAGATAAAACTGGTATTAATTTTAAATAAGATGTAAGACAAGCTTTCGGGAGGAACGGACCAAACTTCAGGAGTGTATTTAACACTTGAAAATAATGTAAAAAAACTCATATGAGTTCATATATGTTCTTATCCAATTCTTATTTGTTTTCAAATTATAGCATAATTAAAACTGTTTATCTAGCGTTCTACTTATTATATAATTATGTATATTTTCGCATAATCAGAGTATGCCATGTTTGAGGCTCAAAAATATTTTATGACTTTGTTGTTTTGATAGTGTGTCAATTTATTGTGACAGTGATTGAACGTTCATATTCGAAATTGTATTATTACAAAAACGTTTTTGTAATAATACAATTTCGAATATTACTAATATTATTACACTTTTATTAAAAGAACGCTATGATTAAAATAACGTACGTTAATGTATGAACTTTTGTTTTACGCCATAATTTGAAAACAAATAAAAATCGGATGAGAACATATGAGTTTGTTTACATTTGCTTTATTTTCGAACATTTATTAAAAGAACGCTATGATCAAAATAACGTTAATGTATGAACTTTTGTTTTACGCTATAATTTGAAAACAAATTAAAATCGGATAAGAACATATGAGTTTGTTTACATTATTTTTATATGAGTTTGTTTACATTTGCTTTATTTTCGAACATTTATTAAAAGAACGCTATGATTAAAATAACGTTAATGTATGAACTTTTGTTTTACGCTATAATTTAAAAACAAATAAAAATCGGATAAGAACATATGAGTTTGTTTACATTTGCTTTATTTTCGAACATTTATTAAAAGAACGCTATGATCAAAATAACGTTAATGTATGAACTTTTGTTTTACGCTATAATTTGAAAACAAATTAAAATCGGATAATTATCTTCTTAAGAACATATGAGTTTGTTTACATTATTTTTATATGAGTTTGTTTACATTTGCTTTATTTTCGAACATTTATTAAAATAACGCTATGATTAAAATAACGTTAATGTATGAACTTTTGTTTTACGCTATAATTTGAAAACAAATAAAAATCGGATAAGAACATAATATATTATAAGCTTTTTTACATTATTTTCATTTGTATAATTCACTCCTGAAGTTTGGTCCGTTCCTCCCGACTCACCCTGTATATATATATATATATATATATATATATATATATATATATAATATTTCTATTTTTTTATAAAATAAGTTGTTTCTATGCCAATAAAACAATAAATAAAATTTTAACAATTTCTTTAATTATATACCCAAATATGTACATATTTTTTGGTTTATTGTTTTTTTTCATGTATTCTACATGATTGGAATATTAACATAATAACTTTGTTCTTGGGCATTAAACATTGATGCGTCGAGGCGAGCCGTTTGAAGACGTTTATATTCATTTTTTGGCTTCGTTTTTCTTCTCAGGCATCTAATAATTTTCTTTAGCCATTCTCGATCGCTTAATACGGACTAAAAAGTTAAAGATATTTAAAAATCGTTATTAATATTTTTAAGTCCGTACCTCAATAAAAATAGCCACAAATAAATGCAAAACTGGAAATGCAATCAAAATGCACCGAAATATTGTTTGTTCCCTGTCGTGGACATAAATGATGTCCATAATTTTGGCCACTTCCTTGCAAGGGTACATCATTATCCAAGCAGTAAATATCGTCAAAACCAACGCGCTGAATAAGAGCCAGAAATTCTTATAGAGCGGTTGCCTAAAACAAAAGCATACATTAACGTGCCGTGTCGTGACGTGACGCGAGATCGATTTACCTGTATGGTTTGCCTTTGGAATAAACAGCGGCTATTGTGATGTACTGGAAACAGGATACAGTAAACAAGACGGTGTTTTCCCAGGATACGACCACTTCTTCATCTTGGTCAGGAATCGGTTTGAACCAGTGTTGTTGGAAAAGGAAGAACAGGGCGGCCAACTGAACGGCGGCACACGAACCGATCTGCAAAACCAGCGGTATCACGTTTTTCGCTGACACCAGCGAGCCGATAGGTCGTTTCGCCGACAGCAACTTTGAAGGCCCTAAAATCAATGAATTTCGTTTAGCATTAAGTACAAACTACTTTCAATCACCCTGTATATGTATCATAGGAGCGGTGTTATTAGAAAACATGTATTACCTTGTCTACCAATTGTCACAGCTAAGATAGTGGTGATAACTAAATCTATAAACAAAAACTGAAAATCCCCTAAGATGGAACAATGCTAAAATGAAGAAAAAAAACATAAAATGAAGGTGATTGTATACACAGGCATTGCAGTGCGTTTTATAATACTCACGTGGTACAAAATGATGATGGTGATGAACTGGATGAGACTGTATAGGGCCATGTATTTGAATATGGCGAAGCTGGTAACCAAGGCGCATCTTCCTTCCAGTATTAAATCAATTAGGCAAGATATGTCGTTTACCATGGAGGTAAAAGGTGCTGCAACACTTGCCTCCGCTTGTGACAACGACACCCCAACATGCGCGGCTTTCAGCGCCTTGAGACAAATAACAATACATACTACAATATTAAAATGTTTTTATTATAAACGGCTTACCCCGCAATCGTTTGCCCCGTCTCCGACCATAGAGACCACATAGTCGATCTTTTGGAATTGTCCAATTAACTGTGCTTTTTGATCGGGTTGAAACCTGGCGAATATTGTCGCCCGAACCAGCACAGATGGTATCAAATCGCTGTAATGTTGCTTTAGAATCTCCCACGTTTTGCCATCGATCGCCAAATGACATTTCTAAAATAAATAATCATATAAGGCACAGCGGAGCGTCGAGGAGTCAGTCAAGCTTTGTTACTCGTGACGAAATAAATTAAATATACGTGCAAATAAATATACTCTTGTATACAGTATATATGATGATATATAAATAATTAGTTTCTTAGGACCATATGCAGAAACGATGATTTATTTATATCAAATGATTAACGAATATCCACTGATTTAAGTTTTAACCAATTTGGCAATATAGCAAATTTTAAATGACAGTAAAGATTTGAAGGTTATATTACATATACTTAAATATGTGTTTATTACATTATAAGAGTAATACATTTTTAAAATGTATTATTAAATATACACATAAATAGGTACATTTATAACTGACTAAACCTTATTATTGACATTGGTTTGAAGAGGACTGCGGCAATATAAAACATACACAATTGGGTTATTTTCGCAGTTTGCAATGTGTTCTAGTAAAATTACGGCTTAAAGCCTCTGAAAAGAACAAATAAATTTTGTTGAAGTTGGTGGAAATTTTATTCAAGGGTTTGTAAAAGATTAATTAATTATATTAGCAAATGTTTTGAAAAATAAATGCAATGATGACGAAGACATCGAGAGGAAAAAAAGACATTTTAAATTTGTGACAAGAATATAAAAAAATTAAGAAACAAACTCTAGAGGATAACATATGTTAGTTAATGCTTGATATACACAAATTATGGCTTCAGAATAAACTTTTTTAATCAAAAGGAGGGAGTTATACTCAAAAATTGCATATCCAGAAAAATTGTGTTAGAAAATGGGTGGGAGGTGGAGTTTTGAAATTTTTTGTAGCATGCATATAGTTTACCCTTGCCTGTCCCCCTGAACAAAATCCTGGCTACACCCTTGCTGTAAATGGGGCAGGAATCCCTGCTTTTCTAAAAGGTTAAATTAAACCCAATGAAAAAAATTATGCATGCCTTGTTTTTTGTTTTGTTTTTTTTAAATAATTTATATTAAAAAATATAGGTACACAAATTTTAAAAACTTATATTAATAAAAAAAAAATTAAAATTTAACTGTTGCAGTTCTTTTTTTACCCTGTGTATTTTATTTTAAAAATAAAAATATTGTTTCAGAGAATATTTTTGATTATTTGTCATATAAATATTACAAATGATAAAAACAATTTGAACCAAAAATGTAAAAAAATAGAATACACTGTGGCTGTTTTTGCTTTCGAGCAAAAACAATTGTTTTTACCTACAGGGTGTATTTTTTATTTTCTTATAAAATGCCTTTTAAACTTGTATTATTGCAAAAAATGTTAATAATATTATAATATGTATATTCAATTTAAAATACCCATGTTGTTCCCCTTTTGCCCCTCCATTTCATTTTCTTTTATAATAATAGTACCTACCTATATTTCTGGGCCCAAAAATAAATAGAGTATAAATTTCCTCAGAAAAAATAGTCCCCTCCACCTAGTTAAGCCCTTTACCGAAAACCTACGGTTTCTATTTGAAGATCAAGCACATAATTGAAAAAATTTAAAGCAGAAAATAAGTTGAACATGGTCTAAAACTTTAAATTCTTCAACAGTATTAAAAAAATAACACAAATATTTTTGGTCTTATTTTATAATCCTTATTATTTATTAAGTAGTATTTTTTTTAATTATCTAGGTATTATATTAAAATGTAAACATTTATGGAAGGTATGTATGTTTTGAATAATAAAAAAAATAATCAATTGATTTCAAGCATTCAGCTTTTCAATCAGACAAAAAAACAGGAAAGATATTTGATATAATTAACATGGTAGTAATTTTATCTTTAAAAAATTGTTATTTTAAAATTATACCTTTGTTATAGGCAGGGCCGAGCCGTGCCGGGGGTGCAAGGGGTGCATGGCACCCGGGCGGCACTAACACAGGGCGGAAAAATATCATCAAAAAAATTGTATCATATTATCAAGAATAAAAAAGCCACCTTGCAATATGCAAAAAACTTTCTAAAAATCACTTGCGTTTTATTGATGTCGGCGTTTCAAGGAATCATCGTAATTATTCTACACATAAAAACAATGCCAAAATTGTGCTGTCAGGCGGCAATGATAAAAAAGACATAACCGAACCCGCGGTAGCCACAAAAAATGATGATGACAATTTTCTTAAAGCCCGGTTTATAGATTGCCGCCCGCCCGCTTCGCTTTTCGTCCGTCCGCTTCGAGTTCGTCAAGTTTCATCTTTTACGGAAGCGGGCTTACGGGAAACCAATCAAATCGCGCGCTGTGTACCACGTGATATTGTTTACAAGCTGAACTGTTAAGTTAAAGCATAATTTCTTCCGATTTGACGGCTGCGTATTTCAGCAATTTTTTTATTAAAGTGAGGCAAATAGGATGGAAACATAGTAGTTTCTTTTGTCTTTTAATGCGTTTAAGTTAAAAACTAGTTAATGATTTAAAAGGCATCTTTCCGAATTTATTTGTAGCTTTAAGAATATTTTTGACGATGGCAGCTGTTGCCCATGGAGAGCGGTCATTTTCGAAATTAAAACTAATTAAATTTAAGATCCAAAATGAGTCAATTCAGGCTTTCAAATTTAGCAATTATAAGTATTGAAGAAGATATTTATACCAACTTGGATGTAGGCGACTTGATTAGGGAATTTGCTATTAAAAAAGCGAGAAAAGTAGATTTTAGTTTTTTAGTTTAGTTTAATTATTTTTGTTTTTTTTACTGAATGTATTTTTATTTTATTCTTTTATGTACCTATTTGTTAATAAATACTTTGTTATTTTAAGTTAAGTATGTTTATTGAGAATGATAAATTATGAACTCCTTCCCTACCAACAACCTAATTTTTTACATTAATGGGGGCGGCAAATTTAATTCTTGCACCCGGGCGGCAGATACCCTAGGCTCGGCCCTGGTTATAGGTATGTTTACCTTCTGAATTTATTTTTTCATGCATATTTACAAACAAAAATACTGTTTATTTTTATCCATATTTTAAATCAACCGATTAACATTTTTGATTATTTTATTGGGCAAAAAACAAATCTAGTAAACCTTGACTTATATTAGGGAAATTATTTTCTATGGTTATGTCTAATTTAAAATGTGAATGCATAAAACTCGACTTTTTTAGGGAAAATATAAACGTTGAAAGATAATTACCCAATTTTTTTATAAAACAGTTTTTAAAGAAAATTACTACGTTGCCATGTCGTGCAAAAATCTATATCCACTGATATGCTAAATCAGTTGTTATAAATATATCAACGTTTCTACATACGGCCTTAGTATTTTAATTGTAATTAAGTAAAAGATAAATCGTTTAGTTCGTTAATTTACAATTTTTTAATTGTATTCCTCTAAAAATTAGAAGTTTAGATTACAATAGATTTAAAATAGTTATAAAAGAATATTTAATTTCCAAGGCATTTTACTCTCTGGATGAGTTTCTATCCAACAACTTTTGTGATTTAAATGTTTTATATTATTGTACGTTTTTATCTAAATCATTTTATAACAATTAATATGTCTCCTTGTATTTTTATATATTTATATATTTGTATATTGTAATTTTCTATCCATCTCACCTGTGCAAAGATTTTGTATTTATTGGCATTAATAAATTATTATTATTATTATTAATATTATTATAATAAACCAGTGCGTGTTTTATTCACACTGTCGAACCGTAAAAACGTTACACTGTAATAGTTTTACGTGACTTTTGTTTACCTCGTCCCCATAAAGTAGACCATCGTTCTCCACATGAAGACGTGGAATTGCTTGCTCATTGTCTTCATCTATAACTGACATTACCGATATTTGTTCATGCCTTTTTACCATGTCGCAATCCCTAGCCACTGCAATTGCCGTCAATATGTTGTCCCCAGTTATCATTACGGTTCTAATATTGGCCATTTGCAGCGTCCTTAGTGCCGGCACGGTCTGCTCTTTCAGAAGATTTTGCATCACAAGAAAGCCGAGGAAGTTCAAATTGCATTCTATCTAAAAACATTTATTTCGTTGGTCGTTTACGCTGTAAGCTGATATAAGCACATACCACTTCCCTCTTGGCTTTTTGCGACTCCTTCCAGGTAAACTTCCTGGGAAGGTTTTTGTACGCGATCGCGATCACTCTGAAACCTTGCACAGTGTACTCCGACAGCAACGTATCGAAATTATTCGGTAAAGATTCCCTGTTGCACATGCTCTTTATTTTCTCGGGGGCCCCTTTTACGAACGCTGTCATGCAGGGCTCCTGCAGATTTCTACTGACCACGGACATGCATTGAAGCGTCGATGAGAACGGGAACTTACGAATTATACCTATTTGATATAACTGAAATAAACCTATGTATATTATGTTTTTATAAAGATATGCACATTATTTCCTACATCATCATCTTCAGACTGAAGCACCTGTTTACTGCACATTTTTCCTGGTATCACGGTAGTGGGTGCTAACTTGTCAAATCTGGCATTTTCGTCGTTACCAGGCTCTTCAAATTCCTAAAATGTTTTTAAAAGTACTAATTAATTATTATTTTAAAATTAATTATTAAGTTATTTTCTTAACCAATTCACCTTAAATTTCGGGTGGCTGTATAATTTTTGCCCCTGAAACTTTTTACAGTAAAAATGACATGTGCGCATTTACCATAATTGGTGAGTGCAATTAACAGTTTTTGTGACAGGTTAGATTTATAAAAAAAATACGTCAAACTTTGGAGTAAGTAGTTATTTTATGAGTTTTGAAATAGAGCCAAATTTATTTTTAAAAAATTTGATTTTTTTCAACTGTCACCCATAATTAACCTCAATTTGTAATAAAGCTAACTTCAGCCTGTGACTAAAAATCTTAAAAGCCACTGTTTCTAACTTCAGCCAGTGACTAAAACGACATAAAGTCACAGCACGCCATTTTAGAAACGAATTTAATTTAGGCACAAGCGAGATTGCGAGCGAGTGCTTAATTAAATGAGTTTATGTAAGTTTATAAACGACTTGCATACTATACTTTTTCTACAACAAATACTTACTATTATCTAAAAATTATTTCAATATTTCTATAAAGCGACATCTATAAAACAATAGAGTAACCAACTTGGAAATCTGTAAAATGTCAAATTTTTATGTGTAATCCCTTGAAAATGTATTGTTTAATTCAATATAGAAGCAGTTTTTTAGTGAAGTCAAAGATTAAATATACTCTAGAAAGAGTATATTTAATCTTTGGTGAAGTGAAGAAAATGTTTTATTGGCACTCCACAAAGTCTCCACCCAAAATTAAGTAAAATCTAGCTTACTGCCGGCGAAGTTTAAAGGTCATATGTTCATTTAAACTTTTTAAATATTAAAACTTAAAACTAACTTCAGCCTGTAACTAAAAACCTGTTGCTAACTTCAGCCCGTGACTAAAACGCCATAAGCCACAACATTGTGTATTTAAAAAGTCATGAAAACATGTACGATAATGGGTCTTTTAAAGGTGCGAGTAGAAAAAAAAGTACAACAAAAATTTTTTTTTGCTGCAATTTTTTTATATTTTAATATATATCTCTTAAAATTTGGTGTTGGTGTTTAAATAAAAAAAAAATTACTCACCCATTTGGTAAATTCAAACATGATTAAATCAAGTGGATCTCCTTGTAAAACCCCATCGATCCTGGTAAGATCATGACAACAAGCCATAGCCTGCACCAGTTTGCTCTTAAGGTCTACGTAACAAATATCTGTTACTGGATCGGTAAATTGCGAGCGATCGCAAGGAATCAGCGATTTCATGTCCAGCGAGTCGTGGGTCAACGTCCCAGTCTAAAATAAACAGCAAAGGTAAAAATGGTGAAAAAGTCTGAATAAGTCTTATTAAGTCAGACTAATAGCAAGATTTGGGAGTCTTCTGGAAGAGTTAATAAGAGTTTTTAAGACTTAATAAGACTTTTAGTAGAAAAATGGTAGGTACCTATGGCGATAAAAATAAATATCCGAAATAATTCATATTTGGTTATCGTAAAATAAAACACATAGAAAAGTATTTATTAACATTTTTGCTGTTGTTATAAGCCAAGTTTATTGCATAATTACCTATATAATAACATAGGTAAGATGTAATAATTATAACAATATTTATTATAATTTTATACATACGATGCGCTTGACATGCTTTCATCGTTTCCACCATAGAAAAAGGAGTTAATATCATGTCTATAGACATGATATTTTCGATAGACTCATAAGACAAATATGGTTGATCTTCGTGTTTAATTCATCTTTGTATCATGGTTGATCTTCGTGTTTACGTACAGTGTTGCCATAAAAGTTCCTGACCATAAATTACAAAATACTAAAATAATAATAAAAATGTAACACCATAGAATAAAATAATTCTGCATATTTAGTAAATATACATTATTATTTACTGAAATTTTCTTTTGTTATTTTTTGTTAGAAATTCGCAAATCACCCGATTTCACCCGCAAATATTACGAAAATACCCGATTTTCGAGTAAAATACTTGCAAACGGCAACACTGTGTCCCACTGACAGGTTAGCTGTGCTCTAATTGGTCAGCTAGCTGAGCTGGTCTCTCGATATTACGTCTAGAAGATTTGTTTGTAACAATGTTTAGATAGGTAAATATTTGCGTGTATCAAAAGAAACTATTAAAATAAAACGTACAGTGGCAACTCCTTTTTCTATAAAATTATAATTGTTATAATTATTACATCTTACCTATGTTATTATATAGGTAATTATGCAATAAGTTTAAGTTAGTTCGCCGCCCGGTTCTGGCACAAACACAACGCCCAATGCTTTAAAATATTACTTTTTTAAAAACATTTTTAAATTTTTAAGTCTTACTTTCTCACGTCAAGTGGAAGATTAGGTTGGTTAGGCTGGTATCTAACAGTAAACTTAGTATCCTATAAAATATAAAATGAGCCTTTATAAACAAATTATAAAAACTATTCAAAACAATACTAAACAATACTAAGTACTAAGAAAAACTAATTAAAAAATAAAAGTTTAATATTTTGTTTCATTAAACTAATAAAAACTAATCAAAAGTTATAAATAAATAAAACATTATTCTTTGGTTTAAATAAATATTGAGAAATCCTAATACTAATAATTAAAAGGTTGTTTTCAAGTCTTTATAGTAGCAAATTGTTTTATAACACTTTACATTTATTTCATCTAGCAGGTCTTGATAAATGGACAGAATTGCTAAGGAGTTAAATCTTTCTTGGGGAATTGTATTTCTTAGGTAGTTCTTTACCCTTTTTAGAGTAGAGAAAGATCGTTCACTACTTGCATTTGAAACCATTATAAAAAAAATTCGCAGACAAATATTAATATTCGGAAATGAAGATATTAATTTATTTTCGTATAAAACTTATACTAATTCCAATGGAGTTTCTATTTTTATTTCCGAAAGGGAAGTTACCAGTTTCTCATCCAAATTCTCCACGAAGATTTATGCTTTTAGATTAAACAAAAATTCAAATTTGTTTGTGCCAGATTTCTAGCTATCATATCGACAAATGATTTCGGATTATAGATTGTCAATTATTAAAATAAAACATATTGTTCGCATTGTTTCTTTTTTGCTTAAACTTGCCTCTGAATTATTTTCTTCAAATTGTAATTTTCTTATGATTATCCGCTTCTGAGCATAATTTTCGTTTCCTGTTAATTTCCTCGTAATGATCAAAATGATCACGTAAAAAATCAAAGTTCTCAACTAAAAATGACAAAAGATGAGCATTTGTGCTTAAATCCATATTTTGTTTTTGGACTTTCATTAACCCTTTGCAAAACGTCTATCCAAAAAGTTAAAATTATTCCGTTTCCAATAAATCAAGTTTTTGTAATGGAGAAGCTGCTTCAACTCTAACAACATTTTTCATATTTGTATCCGTTGTATTCGACGACGCAGTGTCGCAATAATTTTTTTCTTAATTCTAACGATTAAGTATTTTTTTTTAAATTATTGGCGGTACGCGGTACCGCCCCAAAAATATTTACCGCCCGGTGCTATAGTCCCCAAAAAACCCCTGTTAAACCGGCACTGCTTATAACAACAGCAAAAATGTTAATAAATACTTTTCTGTGTTTTATTTTACGATAACCAAATATGAATTATTTCGGATATTTATTTTTATCGCCATAGGTACCTACCATTTTTCTACTAAAAGTCTTATTAAGTCTTAAAAAGTCTTATTAACTCTTCCAGAACACTCCCAAATCTTGCTATTAGTCTGACTTAATAAGACTTATTCAGACTTTTTCCGACTTAATAAGTCTTATTCTGACTTTTTCCGACTTAATAAGTATTATTCAGACTTTTTAAGAGAAAGTAAGACTTTCTCAGAGAAAAATTTCCACAAGGGCCCGCTAAGGACTTACCTTGTCAAAGCAGGCGAGCTTGATCTTGCCGCAGACGGGTATAATGGGTGGGCTGATGCAAAAAATTCCAGCCTTCTTAAGCCTCGCCTGGCTGTAGACGGTGCCCATTGCCATAGCCGCAGGTAAAGCCGGCGGTACCACTATGGTTATAATATCCAAAGCCCTGGTAATGATGTACCTCAATTGCGCGTGTCGCTCGTTGTAGACGTACAGGCAATAGGCCATGCCGAAGGCAGCGATTGTGAATAGAACGAAGACGAACTTTAGGCTGTCCCGGTAAAATTTTAGACCGACCGGAGAAGGAAATAGGATGCTTTTTACCAGGGCTCCTTTCGTCGTGTCGAACCCAGTGCGCACCACCCTCGCCAACACGTCGTCATTCTCGTAGTATCTTGTCTGTATCAATGTGGTGCCTATAACAGGTAACAACCATTTTAAATCTTTTACGGCCGCAATTGTTACAGAATACCTACTGCTTTTTTTAGACAGTGAGGATTGTTAGTATCTTAAAGCCGCTTTACACGACGCAAGTTTCATGCAAGGCAAGAGCAATGCAAGAAAGTTTGTAACTGTACGCATGCGCCCAGGCAACACTCTTGCAAGACGAAATAAATACACAGCAAACGGAAAATTATAGAGGTGTATAGGATGACGCCACGTTTGAATATCGTTTTCTAAATCTCCCTACGGTATAGAGTTGTATTCGTCAGTCGAGCGTTTCAATACTCTCCACAGTATAGAGGTCGTAATTTCACTTTTGAACTAGTATTAATATAAAAATTATTTTATGCTTAAAAAAACTATATACGACATGATTGTGATTTTTTTTCATTTTATTAATTAATTAAGCTGTGTTGAATATTTTTCCTAAAGGAATAATTGCCAATGGGCCATTAATTCATTTGTTCGTAGATGCTACAATAACCTGCACTGGTGTGTACTTTTTCATCAACCAGATTTAAATATTACAAAACTAACATATACCAGTGGAGATAGTGCAGGGTCTACCAACAGACCTAATTACTAAATTATTAAAGTTTAATAGCATATCGATCATTTTTTCAACATAACCTCTGAAATTTTTAATACAAATATAGGTACTTTATATAATACATAAATATACTTAACATCATATCCTTTACATACCTGAGTTGTTACGGTAAATAAAAATCAGACAAAGGAACCAAAGAAAGGAACTATTTTCAACAAAATCATATGCAGAAATGAGAAAATTCAAACTACTTGCATCCATCAAAAGATCAAAACTTCTTGCAATATTACACCCTCTTTTTATACTCTCAGAAATATTGACTAGAACAGTATTAGAGAGACTCCAGTTTCTATAACTTGGTAGAGTAAAGAGAAGTCGAAACCGTTGCGATATTGCATTGCGCTGTTTTTGTATAATTCTCGGGGACATTAACGAAAATCATTGCCAGTAAAATTCGAAAAGCTTGAGTTTCTATGTCTCTGAGGAGAATAGGAATCCGAAGTTGCTGCACCATTGGACTGAACCCTTTTTTAATAATTTCTAGAGACATAAATGACTGCACCATTCGACAGGGTCGAGTTTCTACTCCTCTGTTGAATATAGAAAATCAAAATAATGTATCTTGTAAGACACCATTGAGTTTGACTTTAAATATAGTCGTGCATAGGTATAGAGCCGAAAAATATAAAAACAAAGCACGATTCAATACAGTTATGATAAAATTTTAAGATTTGATATTCAAACGCGGAGTCATCCTATACACTTCTATAATTTTTCGTTTGCTGTGTAGAACCTGTGCTATTTTCCATGCAAGATCCTTGCAAGTCTGGTAACTTTGTATAGTTTTAACTTGTTTTCTTTTATTTTGTATTGTGATACTGTGTATAATTTGTATGTTTTTTGTATTTAAACTTGCCAAACATATAATTATAGTTATTTTTTTCATTGATAACTTGCATAATATATTATATTAAGTCTGACGTTTAACATCTCTTGCGCCAAACTTGCTTCATGTAAACGATCAGGCAAGACATTCGCAAGACCTTGCAAGTGTCTTGCATTGCCTTAAACTTGCATCGTGTAAAGCGCCTTTTAAAAAATGACGTCAGTTTCACTAAAAACAGCTTTGGGAGCACAAATTATACAACTACACCAAATTTGAAGTAAATTGGTCAAATATTATAGAAATTAAAGCAAAAAACCTTTTATACTTTTCGTCTCTTAATACTATAAAAATACTATAAATACTATAGAGACATCTATAGGGATTAAACTGATCCCTATAGATGTCTCTAGTATTAAAGTATAATATTAGACCAATTCACTTCAAATTTGGTGTGGTTGTATAATTTGTGTTCCTAAAACTTTTTTCGGTAAAAATTACGTCATTTTCAAGGTCTAAAAAATATGCAGTATTCTCTAACAATCGCGACCGTAAAAGCCTTAGATTTACAATGGTTATTACTTGTTGGACTCTAAACCCGAAAATACAGTTATATAACATTTTTAAACCACATTAATTGTTACCTGAAAACAGTGTCTGTCGCCTATGTAAGCCACCAATACTGTAAACATCATTGCTAGAATGGAGGGCAGTTTTTGTTACAGGAACACTTTCTCCTGAAATTGTGTTTTCAAGTCTGTTTTCAAATAATTTTTATAGGACCTTAATTTATACCTGTAAGGACACTTTCGTTGACAATACATTCTCCAGTTAAAAGCACTGCATCACATGGCATCACAAAGTTGTTTGGAGGAAGAATTATTAAATCTCCTGGTACCAATTCCACCGGATTTATATTCAATTCATTTATTTCGAATAGTAAATTTTGTCGAACCACCTTTACTTGATGACACACTGATGATTCCACTAAATCATGCACAGCTTCACTTTGCTAAAAAAAAATATTTAATAATTATTATTTTTTTTTTTATAATTTTACTTTTCTGGTTTGAATTAAGGAGGTAATACTGGAAAATAGAGTCAAAACCACAACACATCCTGCATATATCATATAATCATCCACACACCAAAGAACCACTGAGAAAACTTGAAATATGTAAAATGGATTGAACACTTCATCAAAAAATAATTTCCAATATGATTTAATTTTCACACTTATTTTGTTTGGACCAAATAACTTATATCTACAATAAGACAATGTACTCAAATACTTTTTTTTAACTAAACAATTTACTCACAAATCTATGTAATCCACATCAAAAAGTCCACTTGTATTATTTAAATAGTCATCCACTGTGTTAGGTGGAATTAAATTGTCCAATGTGGAAAATACCTTATCTTCTATATCCCAAACATACTTGGTATGTTGATACAAAAAATACCTTAAATTATAAGGTCCTATATTTGGCACTTTTAGTTTATCAGTCTTAACAGTTTCCAAAGTGTATTTTCCATAATGATCAAGTACTAAAAATTAGTAATTAATAATCAATCACAGACAATTTGAAATGTTTTACATACCAAGTAATACCGAAGCAGTCTCCAGTGGGCATTTTTTAAACTTGATGGTCTTTAACTGCGGCCAGGCATTAAAAATCAAAAAGGGTATCCCCAAAAATATAATTCCAAGAAAATTATAGATTACATTATTTAGTTTACTCTGCTCATACCCATATAAATATATTTTTAATTCATCTTGATTATCCAACAGCAGAACTTGCTGATATCTGATTTCGTCAATATTTTGATATTCTAAAAAAATTCATAGGATTTACTTTATTATTAAATCTTCTTAACATACCATAAGGTCTGGAATTATTCATCATTGGTTAACAACAAAATGTAATTATTAAATCATTTTATTACTCTGCATCAGCTGTTTAATGTTTGACTCATCATCTATTCAAACAAAGGATGATTTTAAAGATACGCACAACAAAAGTATACAAATTTGATTTATAAGTGTGCATAATACCATTTGATAATGCGTGCTTATTCAACTTCTTATCAATTCATCTTTTTTATTCGTATTTATTTCTAGGTTATAGGTACTTTTGTAGATCACAATACATATGACATGTGTCAAAGGTCGGTTCACAATGCCTCCACTAACTATAACAGAGTACACTTGTGCATGAGTGTGACCCCAATTATATAAAGAAAATTGTTATCTAAGCCATTTCAATAATTTCATTTCATTTTGCATTTGTTCTACAAAAATTTGTTGCAAAAATGGCGAATGCGCCGGGATATAATTCATTCCAATACTTGTTGTCGCTTTATTTTTTTAAAATTGGCGAATGCTCCGGGATTTAATTCATTCCAATACCGAAAATGTAAAAACGTTGCAGAAACCTTTATTATCTACAATGTTTACTTTTTACTTAATATTAATGTTTTTTTTGCTAATATAGCCCGTTTTATCGTGTTTAAGTAAATTTGTAATTTTGTAGAATTGTTAAATCTGTTTTTTGTTTAAAGTTTTTAATGCGGTGTTGCTGTGAAATCCGGCGACGTCGCTATTATTGTACGTGGAGGATTTGCGGGTAACGCGTGGCGGATAGAAAGCGGATTTGTCAGTAGTTTAGCTCTGGAGTGGTTACGTTGCATCGGTCAGTAGTCAGTTAACTTTTGTGAAAAAACAAATTTATAAGTGAAAAAACATCATGAAGAACCAAGTTAAACAAGGATTCACAAAGGAAGAAGAGCTGTTGCTTCAAGATTTTAGCAGAAATGTATCGACGAAATCCTCAGCTTTATTTTACGGTAACGCTTTTATAGTCTCGGCTGTGCCAATATGGTTATTCTGGAGAATACATATGATGGATATCTACTCCTCCTTATTGCTGTTTGTTGTTGTAACCTCTATTTCCACATACCTTATGGCTCTGGCATACCGTAACACGAAATTCTCCTTAAAACATAAAATTGCCGTGAAACGTGAAGAAGCTGTCACCAAAGATGTCACCAAGAAACTGGCTGATGACAAGAAAATGAGCAAGAAGGAAAAAGATGAAAGAATCTTGTGGCAAAAAAATGAAGTAGCCGACTTTGAAGCCACAACTTTCTCCATCTTCTACAACAATGCCTTATTTTTGGCCATCGTCATTTTCGTCAGCTTCTCAATCCTGAGAACCTTCTCACCCACTGTCAACTACACTTTGTCCATTGGTGCTACATCTGGACTCCTTGCCTTAACATCAACTGGCTCTCAGTAACTTTTCTAAATACATTGTTTTTAATGTCATTGTCATCCAATTTTTATAATTTATTTTGTTAAATAAAAAATCTTTTGTATAAATATTGTTTTTACTAGGTATACAAAACCCAAATAATAAAACTTATAATGTTTATAAATTTATTAATCAATAACTCACAATCTCAAAAAAATATAATTGAATAACAAAACATTACTCTAACTCATCATCATGGTCTCTTCGGTAAGGGCCAGGACAATTCTCTCTTAAATCCTCTTCGTCAGTGCCTGTTATAACACAATATAAGCAGTACAAGTGTTTACTCCTTATATAATCAATTAAGGCTGATAAATTATCTTCAGTTATGTATTGCTCAAATTCTTCATCAAACTCGTCATCACTACTCTCTGTGCCACTGTCAGCTTCCTTTTTGTCCAGCTTTCTTCGCTTTTTTATCGTTTCCTTTGTCCAGTAGAACTCCTCCACTGGGTCTGGCAATTTCTAGTTAAAAAAGGTTTAAAAAAATAATATTTTATAATACAGAAAATCTTTAACATTTTAAATCACCCTGTATATATGCAGGTAGTTTTTAAATAATTTAAAATCAATCAATATTAAGTTTGCAAATTACAATAAGTAAATAAAGCAATTAATAAAAGTTTAAAAGTTACAACTTCAAAAGTACCTTATAAAGTGGTTTTCAAACCAATGCATAATTTAAAAAAAATTTAATAACATAGTAGGTATATACCAAATTTTAATTATTAATGTTTGTTTTATATTTTGATAAAACTTACAATACGAAAGTCCAGTTCCTCACAAATCCTTTGTGCCTTATAAAAATCCTTCCTAAGTAAATTTAGAGCAGTTCTTTCCTTAGTGGCCAACCTAAATTGATTCTGACAGGTCCTTAGCCGATTAATTTTATGTTGTACTCGTTTGCTTTGCACTTCTTTTATATGGGACTCCCGCCCTACTCCTGAGGTGCCCTGCCTTAAAACAATGTCGATTGGTTCTTTGAGGCCTGCCTTGCTTTTTCCTAAACCATCGCCAGGTTTGAAACCCATTTTTTCCAGTAGTTTAAAGCCTTTGTTTTCTGTTGAAATGGCTGTGTTTAAACCTCTGTCACGATTCTCCCTTTCGAGTTCGTGAAAGGATTTCTGTCGCTTCTGTGGAACTGGGTCTTGCTTTTTCTTGAATAACTCGTGCTTGCGTTTTTCTCGGTTGAACAGTAAACTCGGCCTAACATCTTCTTGACTGAATGAGAAAAAATATTAGTTTTTTTGTATGCAATAGCTTTAAAGGGTTGTTTACCAATCAACAAGGACCTTAAAGGACATATAATCATCTTCGGAGTCTGACATATTTATCGACAATCATAAAACGCGTAAATAAATGTAATATTTGTGAAAATAAACATTGACAACTGACACAAACAATTCTATTTAACCTCACTTTTAAAAATGTTTATTATGTACTTAAAAAAAGCAAAAACTATAAATATACAAACTGTTTCGTATTAATAAGAATTATGACGCATTTAAAATGTTGTTTTTTTAATCAAATTTTATTATTTAAAACGTATACAACATCGCATTTGGAATTTCGTTGAAATGTCTTTGTTCGAGTTAAGGTATTAAGTGTTCCATTAAATCGATAAAATAAAAAAATAAAAAGCTTGTTTGATCAAGCAGTTCTCGTTAGTTATGGGAATATTCGGATGCCAGTTTTTATATTTTAACGGTATATTGTTCAAAATTACAACAATTTTTAATTATTTTATTATTCGCAGTTAATTGATGTGTAGGGTTGAAACGCTGTAAGTTTGATACCGCAACGTCATCAGCCATGCATTTCCCACCTTTTTCGAAATTTCAACATTTTTTCTAATAATTTAAATGATTTGAAGGGAAAGGTTATTGGTAAGGGGCCGTCCATAAATGATGTCACGCGTTTTTTTAATATTTTGGACCCCCCCTCACCCCTTGTCACAAATTATGGGACCCCCCCCCTCCCCATTGGCGTCACGTCACACTGATTTAATTTTTAGGTAAGGTCTACCTCACGAAATTTTTGCTTAAAATAAAATCTTAATATCCAGTTTATAACCATTATTAATTATTAAATTCCAAAAATTATTATACTTATACCTTATTTAACCCAAATTCCGAAATATTTTTATAATTTTGTGACATCACAACCTCCCAAACCCCCCCCCGGCTGTCACATTTTCGACGACCCTCCCTCCCCCCTAATTGATTATTCAAAAATTACAAAATATTTATATTAGGTACTTTTTCTCAATATGAAAAATGGGGTGTCATTTTTTTAAAACTTAAATGAAATAAAAAATAACTTTAACACTTTATTGTTAAAAAATAAAAACAGTACATAATACTTCAGGTAATATAACTTACAAACTAACAGTTATTGGTATAAAGACAAAGATATTATCCCCCTGGTGTTTCTTAAAATTTGCGAGCTTACTTTCTATAGAAAATTATCTCTACAAAAAGCAATAACCAATCAGAGCGCGGGATTCTCCACAGCAAACCAGGCTTTCTAAAGAAACCCCCTAAGCTGACTTAAGCTTTTAACCATTTTGGAAACTTAACTATAAAAAAAATTACTCAAAAAACTTACTTGGCATATGTAGTTCTAGGTACTGATTTACATTGTAAGATAACTATCCAAATAAGTAAATTAAATATAGTTTTTTTTGTTAATTCTATGTCATATATAAAACAATTGCATAGGTAATATTATAAAAACATGAATAAAACAAAATTCTCTCCATATAATGAGAAAAAGCATTTTTTCTTTTATGCTTACTACTGAAAATTTGGTTACAATCTATAACAATTTAAATTTAATATTAAAAAAATAAGAAAAGTATGCTTTTACCATTGAAGTCAAGAATTATCTTAAAATAAATATAATAAAACAGACAAATTATGCCTTAGAACAGGTTGGACACGCGTCACATTTAAGAGAATATCTTCCACTTTTTATGTCGGGGTTTGGATTTTGTGCATTACAACTTTGACACTGGAACTTTTTTTCAAAATGCATTGTGTCATCTTTGCCCCAACCCAGAAATTGTCCAAACTCTTGCTCATCATTGAGAGTGATATTATCAAACCCAAGAAATTGCTCCTCGACCTCAACTGAAATTTCTTCATTGCTGTTTTGAAATTTCTGCTTGCGCTTTTTTAATGGAAGGTTTTCTTCGTTATCTGTGGTTTCGATAAAGTCGCCTTCACCTACAAAATATTTTCGAGATCTAATAATAGGTTCTGCGCGCGCAGAATTGTGCTCAGCAGCAAGCAGCTTAAGAAACCCTATTAATAGGTTTTTTTTTAATATAAATTGCTTAAGCGTTTAATTTTTTTATCTTTTCACTTATTAAAATTTCAAAATAATACAATGTTGTTCTATTATAATTAAATACACATTTCATACTGTTTTTTTATGTTAACAATAAATTGAATTGAATTGTTGCACAGCTAATACATTTGGTATTTTAAAAATACTTCAAATTAAAAATCTTACCTTGTAGACTGACCAGGAGTGAGTTAACATTAGAATACCCCAATTTAGTGGCAATTGGAGTCAAAATTCCCGTGGGCCTTTTGCCCTGCCTTTTCCTGCAAAAAGAGCAGTTGCACATGTCACGGCAGACAAAACATGTCCATTCTGGGTCCATTAAAGCATCAGCTGCATCTTCTCCATACCGATTCCTAATGCAAACCCCACAGAACTGACCTTGAACCCCAATGCACTGGGGGTTGCGACAGCTTGTTTTTTGATCACTTGTTTTTTGTCTGCATTGATGACAGCTTGTGCCATTGGAATCATAGACTTTCTCCGACACTCTCAAGCTTATGTTGTTTAACATTTGTTCAGTTACTTCACTTACAGGGATTATTGGTGGTCTGGATCCTGTTGAGCGAGGCGCACTTCTTCTAGGCTTTGTCTCTGATATTGTTCTTGTTAAATACAACAATTCACCTTCATCATCGCTGTCGACTGATGATTTTTTTCCTGTACTTTCAATCTCATCCAACTCTTCACCTGTAAATTGAGGCTTTGACTTTGCCAATCTACTGGACGATCTTCTTTGAGTGGGAACCTGCCCGGTAAACCTAAATGTAGAGTCTTCAGATGGTTTTTTTAAAGTTTTCTTTTTTGGTACATTTTCTCCCACATTTTCCTTATTCTCTGAATTAATAAAATCCAACGCCTGGGCAAATTCTGGGTCCTTTATTGCCCAATTTTTTAGATATTCATCCCTTTCCTTTATATTTTTCTCCCTCTGGATTTCTGCTTCACTTTTGGAGTGTTCTTCACCTAAATTTACAATATTAATAAAGCACAACCCTAGTAACAACCTATACTAACTATCAAACTCCTGATCTTCAATATCTGAGTCCATGTTTTGATAATTCACTATGTTAACGCCAAATAAGAAACTAAAATTTAAAAATTGTGTTCTAACCACAAATAACAAAACAAGAGAGCGGGAAATGCAAAAACAGTGTAACCAATATTAATAAACTTTGTACCGATACTTCACTCAATGGGATTGGCAGCACTGATATTTCAAAAACATGAAATGTCACTTTTGATATGTTGGGTTATAATCCATCATAAGAAAACATTCAGTTGTAAAACACATTTAAAATGATAAAAACAAGAAAAAATGACATAAAATTAACGCAACTGTCAATGCTAGAATTAAAGGATCTTTTAGATAGAGAAAATAAGCTAGTAAATAACAGGTAATAACTTAACTCTTTTAAAATATTTCATTATTAAACAGACAAATTTTAGAAAACTTTTTGCAAAATTACCGGATAAAGGCGAATCAGTGATAAGATTTCGTGACAAAATACAAGAAGAAATAAATAACAGAAATGAAATATGCAACATTGAGCAATCATTAAATAAATTAAGTTTGGATGTGAATTTTTGTAATAAAGACAAGCATATACAAAAACTGTGCACCATAGAGAATAAACCTGATAAAGAAAGATATAAACCTTTTTCAACTTTAAACAAACAGAGCGAACATAAAGTTGATACCAGCAAATTTATCGAAGATCCTTTTTTTGACAAAACCACAAAATTGGTTAATTTACCTGAGTCTTTAAACATTTTAAGCCAACAAGAGGAAAGAGTTAAGGTTTGGACTTTAAATTAAATAAATTCAACAATTAAATTAAGTATTTTACCGGTAAAATTTTTAAAATTATATTTTTTAGAGTGAACAATATAAAAGTAAATTTGAAAGGGAGCTTGAAAAAATATTGCAACAAGAGGGTGGAGAAAAAACTGAAAGTGAAACTGAAGAATCCAGTGAATCTGAGAAGGAAGATATAGAATAATACTACTTTCTAAACTTTTTAATATAAATAAAACTTCTTAATTTTTAGCTATTTTTAATTTAATTATTAAAAAATAAAATAAATCAATTGTTAAATATTAAATAGGTACATGAAAAAATGTTGGTTTTTTACAAAAATAATCAGTTTTATGGTATTAATATATATTGATTTATGTGAAAAAAAATGTTAAACATATGTTCAAAAGCATTTTTTTTTGTTTAAAAAGCTTTATAATTGCGTTGAGAGATAGATAATAGCACAAAAATAGTATTTTTCTGCACGAATTGGTATATTGGTTGCCTATTTATGTTCTGGGGTTGCCTGTTTTGTAATGTTGGTTGCCTGCTTTTAACATAGTTCGGTCACAATCTACGAGGTAGCGCTAGTGTAGTGCGTCCTGTTGATAATCAAATATTCAAACTTGTTAAAAGTTCGTTGAAAGAGCAGGTCATAATTTTGTTATATGGAGCAGGTACGGTGTTTCGATTCACCTTTATCATCATTGTTTTGATTGTTTTGGGGGTTGTGGTTGTGTGTTTGTTATATGTTGTTGACTGTCCGACGTTTAATACGATTACAAGTAAGTCATCATTAAATTTCTCCCTTCCATTTGCTTATGCGTAGATATCTTGCATTAACATAAATAAATAGATATAAATTAGTTAATGAGTGGCTATGAGTGGCCACAACATACCACCATTGATTAAGATGTACTCTTCACTCAAAAAAAGCAACAAATGAGCCCCAAAATTGTGCATGAAAGTTTTTAATAATATTAATAATATTGTTGTTGTATTGTATTTTATGATGATTAGTAAATATCTTTTATTATTTAGGATACAATAAAAACACTGGTAGCTGGTCAAGTCGATTTGATCCAGGAGCAGTTCTCTCAAAAGAGAAGAAGCAGGTACTTTATTTAATGGAGCCATTTTATGATAGTGAAGAAGAAATTGCTTGGGGACCACAATCACTGAGAGAAATTAAGGCAGACTTAAACAGGCCATCACAAAAAGTACACAAAAGACACACAATTGTGTAAGTGTTTAAGTTATGTTAATTTTGTGCATTGTTTATTGTTATGTTTTGTTTTTAGAGTGAACGTAAAGGAAGATATGATGAATTGTTCAGATGGCTTGTCAAAGTTGAATATCTCAAATCATTCCTCAGAGTATTACACAGCCAATGAAACAGCCAATACTGAAGCTGTATTGAGTAGTAATAACACTTTTTTGAAGAAGGCTATAAATGAAGATAATCCAAGATCTTCAATACCACAACAAACCCTGCTGGATAACATATTACAAAAAACTCTAGTTGATAATACAATTATCCTATCTTCCAGCGATGATGATTATGAATATGAAACCATAGAAATTAAAAAAGAAATTAAACTTGAGTATCATCAGTATAACGATGATACATTTAGGACAGCACAAGAAGAAGTGATTGTTTTGGATGACTCTGATGATGAAGAATGTCTCACTGATGATGAAGACTATAATAATATTGAATGTAAAGAAATATCATCAATCAATGCTGAAAATGTTCTTAACTATGAACACAGTTTATCAACATCTGATTATGAGAAGGATAGTTTTAGCGAATCTGATTTACATAATAGAAAGTCTTCTCCATTTAAAGTGCCCAAAATTGATATAGATCAGTTTGATGAATCTGATGATTTTGACAGATTTAATGACACCTTGGAAGAAATGGAGAGGGCATTGCAGCATGGTCTGGACTATAAAATGCCTGATGATGATGAAAAAGAAAACATAGATATTGCAGAAACCACACAACAATTCAAAAAGGAATCTATTATATCAGGTTCTTTTATGAGTAATAATGTTATTAATGATATTGAACCAAGGAAAGAAAATTTTAAAATGCCTCATATTCCTGCAACAAACAAATTGAAACTAAAATATAAAGATATTGTGAGTCCAGTCAGGATATACATTAATAATACCACAACGTGTTTAAAGAAGAATGTAATAGCAGAAAAAAATATACCAAAACCATGGATCAACAGTGAACCATGTAAAAACAAAAAATTGTTCCCTGTGTTGGAATTCCCTGAAGTAGTGTATAAACCTGCAAGACAAACTGTTAAATCATCAGCAAAACAAACTAAATTGCCAGGCAGTATTAAAAAATTTGTACCAGAGTCAATTATACTTAAACACAAAGAAAGGTATTACAATAATAATTTAAATAAGATGGCAATTCACCAAAAGTTAATGGATGGTAATTTAACCACTGTTGAAGACAGCTTTATAAATACCACAAATAATTTTGACCTTTCAGTACAAGTCAGCAAGCAAGGCTTTATTATGTAATTATAAAATAATTTTTTATAAATTTTATTCTTAGTGATTCTCATAGATTAGGTTTTTAAAATAATAAATATATTATTTACTCATTACTTGTTTTATTAGTTATATTATATAAAAGGTTTGCTTAATACTACAGTGTGATCTACTCCACAAAACACTTGCGTCACTGATGCACCCATTGACACCTTAAAGGGGAAATATTGGTCTTTATCGTGTCCCAAACCAAGGCAAGCATTGGAGTTTCTCCCCCAAGTGTATAAGTCCCCCGAATTGGTGATGGCAGCTGAATGGCTGGTACCGCATGCAACTTTGACAACTTCTGAGCTTGGTTGAAAGTCGTTTTTACCAAATAACGTTTTGGGAATCGGCAGGGGGACTTTTGAGTGTTCCACTGAAGGCCCCATACCCAAAATACCAAAGCCCCATGAAAATACATCTCCATTTTCTTAGATAATAAAAAAATATATTTATTTGATTTTTTAGTTGTTTGTTAACATACCATTAAGAATGAGACAAAATGAACCACCACTTGCTATAGAAGTTATTTTACCGAAAGATTTCAGTGATTTAATGTATGTTGGATTGCAAACTTGTTGTTCTTCAATGTCAGGCCCCAATTGACTATATTCTGTGTTTCCCCAGCCAAAAACCTCTCCTTTATCTAAATTAATCAAAATTATAGTTAAAATTATTTTAAGGACCTATTTTATATTACCGTTTCTTGCCAAAACGAAATCAGCCCTACAAGACAATTCAATTATTTTTTCATTAGCAATATCCCCTCCCACTTGTGTGAAAACTTCCAAATTATTGTAGTGCCCTTGACCTGTCTGACCATCAGCCCCCCAGCCACAAGAATATACAGCACCATCTTCTGTTAGTAATAAACTAAAATAATACATTTAATAAAAATATATAAACATAAAAATCTGTTACCTGTGATCTTGCCCACATTGAACATCACAAATTTTCTTCCCATCAACATTTGGAATGTGATTTACATATGAACTGGCCAAATAATCTTCATTTTCAAGTATTTTTCTACCACATTGCCCATAAGAGTTATTGCCTTGCAAGTATACACCCTCGTCAGTCAAAGCCATACAGTGTGCTCTACCAGCACTAAGTTTTAAAATTTTTGATGTGCTATTTTTCAGGGATAAATGTATAGGTTTTGGGTAAAATAATATCGACAAAGGTTTGCCTTCATTGATTTCATGATGACCTATTTGAGAATCAGTGTTCAGTCCTGACCCAAATAACTTATGTTCATCATTTTCCACCCCAAATACTGTAAATCCATACCCGCAAGCAACTGCAGTAACCTTTAAAAATCTTTCAGAAATAAGTCCAATTTTTACTTTGTTTGCAAAATGTTTATCGTACCTACATTATGTTTTTCCCCAAATGTAACTCTCTTAGGGTGCCTCAAACATGAAACTTTATCGACGCTCTCATTTTGCCTAATAAATGGTATCCCTAGGGCGCCTGTTTGGATATTACCCCAAGCATACAATCTTTGGTACGATTCATTACTTACACCGTACTGAAATACTAAAAATTCAATGTTTATTATCCTTGTTAACAATTTCAAAAATCTAATTACTAGGCAGCGATTTTTCTTGATCCCTATTTATCGGATACTTTCTTCTTACTGTGCCAAACAATCTTCTGTAAGCTTTAAACGACATTTTTGGGTTAAATTTGAAAAATTAACCTACAAAATTCTTTTTGACAACTACTGCGCAGGAACACCAACCTAAAAATGTATTTATCCGGGACAGAAATATGTGATGAAATTAGTTTGTTCCAGTTGAATAGTTTTCTCTAATCTATGGTTTGTCCAAATAACCCATTTTTAAGTTATATAATTTGGGAATTTCTTTATCATCGTCATCGACAAATTCATCAAGATTTTTTGTTTTAGGGTATTTTTGGTATGTAGAACTTTTTAAAGTTAACACAATTGCAAAGTTGGATTGGCTGTATAAATAAAAGGTTTGGGTACATTGGACGTCTTTTATTAAATGTTTATAATAAATTTGCGGTACAATTAAATAATACTTACATTTTTACATTATAAATAATAAAATAATAATATTTGGTAATAGTAAAAGGAATATAATAATATTCATTAAAAAATAATAAATAGTGTAATCCAATGTTTGACATTATTTATAAAGAATTATTTGTTTTTTTTAAAATAGTGTCGACTAGAAAGCTGATTACACTAACTGACGTTGCCAGAAAGAAAGTTTAGCGTTTCTGGAAACGATTTTGGCAAAATGTTTTAAATAAATAACTTACGTACATAATATCATTGCTTATAGGTAATTAGTATGTAGGTAGTTAGTTAAAATCACGTAAATGAAATATGATAAAAGAATCTTTAAATAAGAATGTAGTTAGTTGGGGTTTACAATTCTTTTTCGATCTTGATGAGTTCAGAGATGCCGTCGTACATTTCCTTGACGGCGTCGAACTCGGTGAGCCCCATGCGCCTCTTGTTCGAGATGTCGTAGATGCCGCCCTCGGCTTCGGTGTGCTCGCCGCGGGTGCCTCTCACTTGCAAGTTGAACTTGCCGGCGATCTCGTCCAACTTGGCCTTGTTGGCGGCCAACTTGGGCACCTTGATGTGCACGGAGGCGCGCACGGTGGTTCCCAAGTTGGTCGGGCAGAAAGTGAGGAAGCCGAGCCTGTCGTTGTGGGAGAACGGCACGCGCTTCTCGATGTCGTTGACGGCGGACACCAAGCGACGGTAGACGGCGCCAAGATCGCCGCCCATTTGCATGGAGATCAGACGGAGATGGTCCTCCTCGTTGCACCACACCAAGAAGGTTTTGTTCTCGTTGTGGTAGATACCGCGGCCGGATGGCCAGAAGCGGCAAGCGTTGGCGGCTTGCAAGAAGCGATCGCCCTCCTTGAACAAGAAGTGATCGTCGATCAACTTCTGTTGCACGTCTTTGCTCATGCCGGTCAGTGGGTAGAAGGTGCCCTTCAATTCGCCTTCCAAGCCGGACAAGGTCGTGGACACCTTGGCTTCCATCTCTTTGTATTGTTCTTCAGTCAAGCACGGGTTGAATGGGTATCCCTCCATGGAACGGCCGCAACGGACACGGGTCGAGACGACGTATTCGCCGGTTGGATCGACGTTGCCAAAGCTGCTTACATCGCCCCAGTTCTTTGGTGGATGTTTGTCAGTCTTCTTGAATCCAGTGTGGTAGTCTTCGATGATGGGGTCGAACAAGTCAGCGAACACGGTGTAGGCTTCAGCATCGGGAGCGTAGATGCCTACTCCGGAGTCGTGATTTTCCAAACCTTAGCAAAAACAACAATGATAAAGATCGATTTTAATTAAATCCTTGATAGACAATGCAAATCTTACCGGATTGGATGACATCAAGAAGGGTGGAACCGAAAGAGGTCTTCTTGGTTTTTAGGTTGTCGAAGATTTCTTTGGTCAAGAATTTCTTCAAGAGCGATTTGGAATCGGATTCTTGGAGTTTCTTGAATCCGGATTCCAATTTTTCCAAAACGGCGGCGTCAACCATGCTGGATTTTCTAGAAAGTAACATTTAATTCAGTAAAGCGTCAGGTTTTCAAAATGTTTGTTTATCGTACGGAGAATTGAACAATTAAAAAATGTTGATGAAAAAAAGTTTTTCTGTTTTCTTAAATTTCTTTGATTAATTTTTTTTAACAAACATAACACAAAATCTAGCACAAGTCATGCAAATAATTGATCAAGCATTATTTTAATTAACACTTGTAAGGTATTAAAAGGGTTGATAAAGATGCGTACTTAGATAAGTAGTAGAGTTTGGGAGCAGCAATAAATCAAACAACAACAGTAACAACATTAACAACAATAGGAAGTAGGTAGAGAAGATAGAGAAGCTTGAGATCCATATCCGTGGAATTGATCCATCGTAATGCCGGTTTTGGTGTATATATACTTAGATAGACCCATGCATTTTACATTGTACATCGAACAGGAATGTTACAAACCCAGATTCTTCCTCATTTGTTTTTTTAGCATTATCCTTAGATGCACACCCGCCCATAATAACTAGCTTATTATTATCAGACACACTCGATCTATATCTAAACTAATAGGTTGTGCAGGACAAATCTGCATGGATGGGAGGACTACGCCCTTCGTGCCGCGCCGTCAGCTCTTTCTCCACCCGGTCCTAAGCGGCGTTTCTCGATGTCTACAACGTTCACCCTCGTTAACACCACGCCACGCTCGCCCGATTCAACTGAAAGTGAATTTCGCTCTATGGACGCGTCGCGACGCGCAAATCGATACGACCACCACTTCCCCATATTCAGCCCTACAACCAATCCCAAAACAGTCTACCACTGCCTTTGCCTTGACCACCCTTACCCTACTCTCAGATCATTAAACCTTTTTTTTCAGCTAAACTTTTACAAAAATATTTCAACGATTCAAAAACTAAACTAATATAAGGAGATTTTTTATTAAAATAATAATTATAAAAATTAAAATAATAATTATAATTATTAAAATAATAATAATTATATCAAGAAATATTTGAAAAAAGATTAAATTTGAGATCCCATACCACTGACATTTTATCTTGTTTATCTAATTCTACATTATCGATCTGTGACTTTAAGGCGTTTTAGTCACGGGCTAGAGTTAGAAGTTAAGTTCTTTAGTCACGGGCTGAGGTTGGCTTTATTATCAATTGGGAAAAAGTTAGGTTAAATTCGGGTGACAGTTAACAAATGTCAAATGTTTAACAAATAAAATTGGCTTTAAATTCTGTTTTATATTTGTCGTAGAAAATGATATTATGTATCAAGTTTTTTTAAACGCCATTTTAGTTACGAGTTTTATTAGGCACGAGCGAACTTGCGAGCGGGTGTTTAATAAAAACGAGTGCCTGAAGAAGTTTATAAAACGAGTTAAATACTATACTTTATCTACGACAAACAAAAAGAAGAATTTTATCTGTTAAAAATGTCAACTGTCAACGTTTTTCCCAATTCCCAATTTATAATAAAGCTAACTTCAGCCCGTGACTAAAATGCCCAAAAGCCACTGTTGCTAAATTAAGCCTGCGACTAAAACGCCATAAAGTCACAGCTTATTAATGGGGGAGTAGATAATAGTATATTATGTATCAAGTTTGATTTTAGACACGAATTTTAGGCACGAGCGGGCTTGCGAGCAAGTGCTTAAATTAATGAGTGTATAGAAAAGTTTATAAACGAGTTGCATACTATACTTTTTCTACGACAAATACTTATTATTATCTTAAAATGATTTAAATCAAAGAGCGCCATCTATAAAACAATAGGGGAATCTGTGATACCGTCAAATGTAAAATTTGTATTTGTTATAAACACAGATTATAAAGGTTACAAGTCGAAATGTATTCCTTGAAAATGGATTAACAACAGTTTTTCACAATGAAAGTAATGAAAATGTTTTATGAGCACTTTACAGTCCGAGCCCGAATTTAAGTTATATCTAGTGTTCATATAAACTTTTCAAATATTGGCGTTGAGAAACTATTTAATACTTTTATATTTTTGTATTGAGATTATAAAGTAATTTTCACATTTATTATTATTTTATGATGACATTTGACATTTGAAAACTGTCAACTAAATTAATACTAACTTCAGCCCGTGACTAAAAACCTGCTGCTTACTTCAGCCCGTGACTAAAGCGCGGGCGTTTTAAAGGTGGGAGTAATAAAAGTATAGTATGCAACTCGTTTATAAACTTCTCTAGACACTTGTGTTTATTAAACACTCGCTAGAATGCTTCGCTCCTGCTTAATTAAAGTGACGTTTATAAAACTTCATACATAATATAATATCACACTGGTTTAAAGCAAATTTAAATTTGATTAAAAAACGTTAAAATTAAAAACATTGTCCTAAACCAAAATCTCTTAAAATGTCTTATGTCTTAATTCTGTTGAAACATCCTAGAATGGTGTTGAATCTGTCTAAAAAATGTCCTAAAATTTGTTAAGTCTCTTAAAATTGTCTATAATATTCTACCACCTAACTTCTAAACTATTTCATAAAAATTTTCTGTAAAAAACGTTCTAAAATTGTATTAAAATTTTCAGGTTTTTAAAATGGCCTAAAATTATCTAAACATTTTTTTAAAATGTCCTAAAATTTTTTTATTGTCTTAGGGCTGTCTATAATGTTCTAAAAAATTTCTTAATTTGCTTTTATTTATTAAATAAAAATATTTTTTGAGGGTTTTGTAAGCAAAAAGTTAAATAGGGTTTTTGATTTTCTACTACTGTCTAAAACGCCAAACACCCTAAAATTATTGCCTTTTTAAAATGCCCTAAAAGATTTATAAGAATATGTGCTTCCCAGTCTAGACAAACTTTATATGTAGTGACTCAAGCAACTGCGTATTGGGTCCCAACTGGATTTCACCCCTATTTTAACCCTCTATTATCATTAAAAAAGGTCAAAGCTTTCTTTTATTTAACCTCGATTATATGTAGGTATGTAGATACTTAAATAAATATATCGAAAATAATAATTATTTTAATAAGCCCCTTAAATATTATCAAGCTTTACAATACACTCACTATGTAGAATGAAATATTTTCTACGTAGTTTAAAACTATAAAAAAATTTATTACTTTTTAAAATTGCCAGTTATAAATAAAGTTTTCGATAAATAATTATTATTTGTGTTTTATTACCTTATGTGAAATAAACTATTGTTTAATGCCAGAAAATTTCTAGTTTCTAGCATGGAAATTTTTGTGAAAACTGTAAGTTCATTTTTTTATATTGTTTTTTTACTGCAATGTTTTTTTTGTTATTTCTCGATTTAAGTCGTAATGTTATAAATTAAATTTTCAAATAAAATAAAACTTTTTAAGATTTAAAATTATATTTACAACACAAAATTTGTTTGTGTAAAATACCTTAAAAACGAACCGTATGTTTTGATTAAAAACGACTTATTTGAAATGTTGTCAAAAATGGCGAATGCGCCGGGATTGAATAAAACAATTTCAGTTTAATGTGGATACTTTCCAAGTTCTAATAATACCTTGAAATTGTTATAGACGTATTGATCTAACAAAACAAAATTGTCAGTGGTATAAAATATTAATAGTAGCCAAAAAACAAGTTAAATCGATTTTGTGGAAAAGCGGTGTTATGTCATACGTGGATTTCAATAGTGTATTTTTTAACATAAAAGCACAATTTAATTTATCTAATTGAATCAATCGAAAATAAAATGATTGTGGAGTGAATCATTGAGAAAATTGCTTTAAATTAAGAGCTTTCATTAAATAATTGTCACGAAATGACTTTCGTCCGTTTGTAGCGCTATTTACCACCCATAAAACCTTACGTAACACGACTTCGATTTTTTTGTTAATAACGAAAAAAAGATGTGAAAGCGTTGAAAAGCCCTTAGATTATTATTTTTCAACTGCAACTATGATTATTAAGAGAATTTTATTATTATCAAGCGTTATGTATTATGATAATGTTTTTAGCGAAAATATGATTTTAGTAAAGTCTGTACCTTTTGCTCTAGTTTTAAAAAACACAAACACTGAGAAGATGGGAGAGAACTGAGCCTTTATGCCGGAGGTCTCGGGCTAGATGAGCTAGTGGAACCCCACTCTCAATTGCGTCAGAAGCAACTCTCAACCAATCGTTACACTTTACGTATTCTACCTTCAAAACTAGCCTTTAATTTTTACTATTATAAGGGAATAGCGCTGACATTTTTTTTTTAAATTATCCTCACATCATCCCCTCCTTCAAATAATCTATAATTATATTTTGATGACTGATTTTACTCTCAAATAATATTTTCAGGATTTTTTGTTAGTGATGGTGTGTTTTTTTGAAATTTTTTCAGGAATTATATACTTTAGTGTCGACAAGTGTTAATTTTCTTAGAAAATGTATGTATACCACTCATATTTTTAATTTTGGATATTAAATATTAAATTAACTCTGAAAAAGTCAAAATCTAAAAAAATTAAGTAGTAACTTATGTTAATTTTTAAAAAATAATATGAATAAATAAAAAGTCAGTGGTATACCTACATTAGTTAATTCCCAATTTCGATTTTTTACTGGGTATTTGACATTATTTCACAAAAAAAATCATAACTCGCAAATAAATAGACATGAAACAATATACAAGACATATTTGTGTGGGAAATTTTACGCTCCACAAAAAAGGTATTTTAGTTTTTTCTCGTAAAACCATCCATTTTAATGTTATCGGAGGTCAAAGTTTAAAATAAATATTTTTTTTAATTCATGAGTTGGCTTTTTTTAAAGTCTGAAAACAATTTTGAAAAAAAATTTTTGTTATTGGTTTTTTCAAACTTTGGCCTCCAATATAATTTAAACGAACGTAAAAGACCTTTTTTGTTAAGAGTTAAATTTCCTACAAACATTTGTATTTTTAGTGCCTTTAAAAAAATATTAATCCAATACCATTATTTGGTATTTAATGGATTATATTAATCATTGCTTATATTTTATGCTATCACATCAATTTAAATTCA